ACATTGTTACAACATTATTAAAATAATGTTGCAAATCTATATTTTAACAATGTTTCTAAAGCATTGCATTGCAATATGCAATGTTGCAACTTTGCTGCAATATTGCTGCAAACTTCTGTGCTGTATGGGAAGCTTTTTTGAGATCTTTTAAATATAAATGAGGCTAGTTTAATAACTTGGCTTTTTTTAATAACTTGGCTATAATTTTATTGATTTCACGACTATTTTTAATCAATCAATTTTTAAGTAATTGTATATTTAAATTATAAAAAAAAATTATTCTTAGTTTTAAAAAGAATGTAAGTGACATTTTTTTATGTATTCGGCGTATATTTTTTCTTTTTTTAAAAAGATTTTTTATGGAATCTATTTTTCCTCTAAATAGGATTTACAAAAATTATAAATATGTTTAGAGTTGTTGCATGACAAATTCTCGGCCTATCAAAAAACGCTTTCCTGTGGGAATTTTTTGTCATATTCATCAAAATCAACAAAATCATCAAAATCGAAAAGAGACGCTTGAGTCCCTTCTCTTGTAAAAATTAAAAAACTATGTGATATGTAAATAAAAAAACACATACAGGGTGTCTCAAAATTTGCGAATCAAAATATTATACCAAGAAAGTCTTCGAAAAATTAAGTAAAAAAGTTATTTATAAATTTTTATTTTAAGCAGTAGTTTTTGCGATACAAGAGTTTAAATTTAGCCAATTATAAATTAGTACGCGCATGAAGTGCGCAACTACTAAAGGCCTATCTATATAAGTCGCAAATGCGGACATTTCTTTCTTTTTTTTTCTCCGCGTTTGCGTTTGCGTTGTGCGTTTGCAACTTATGTAGATGGGGCTTAATACTATCGACGCGCTCACGGACATGTTTCCGTTTAATCATAATTTATAATTGGCTAAATTTAAATTCTTATATCTCAAAAACTACTGTTTAAAATAAAAATTTACAAATAACTTTTTTCCTTAATTTTTCGAAGATTTTCTTGCTATGATATTTTGATTCGCGAATTTCAGGACACCCTGTATATAAATGCGCAATAAATCAGTTGAAACAGTATTGTTTTATATCTGTTTTATATGTCATTATAGTATATAATAAAATAAACTTTTCAATAAAAACAATTAGTTAACGAAAGGCACTAAGAGTCAATACGCAGTACGTTACGTTAAAACTTCTAATAAAGTTGTATTCCATAAATCAAATTACATCTTCTTACATTTGTCGTACGTTTCGGTTTACTTTAGGCCTTCTTCAGCGATGAATACCAATAGTTCCGCCAAAATTATAATATTCAGTTCCTAATTAATTGTCAAGCCATTGTGGAACTGAAGGCCCACTTCATACATTGCAGAACATGGTTTGACAATTAAGAATTGAATATTATAATTTTGGCGGAACTATTAGTATTCATCGCTGAAGAAGGTCTGAAGTGGACCGAAACATACGACAAATGTAAGAAGATGTAATTTGATTTATAGTATACAACTTTATTAGAAGTTTTAACGCAACGTTTTCTTTGTATTAACTCTTAGTGCCTTTCGTTAACTAATTATTTTTATATTTGAAGAGACTTATAATTTATTATTTCAAACTTTTCAATTTTCCAACTCTATATTAAAAGAATAAATAAATTATCACGAATTTCTTTTCATAACAAATGTATGTATCAAATATAGCAAAATAAATTTCTATAAAATTTCTGAAAAGTAAACATATAATCAATAATAACGCGCTCACAATTTGGGAATAATCAATTGATTATCCCCAAATAGTGAAAAGTCTGGAATAATTCAATACAGAGAACAAAAATTGGGAAGAAGAGAGCAACATTATTATCAAAACAGGAAAATAAAGGATTATATATACATAATTAAAATTTTTAATTTTTTGCACGATTACAAAAACATAGTTGTTCAATACATAGAAAGAATGTCATACGTAGAAGTTAATGTCACTCAGTCAAGCAAATGAAAAAGTTTCGAGTTTTAGAAGAAAGAAAAAACTTAATAAAATTATTGAAAAAAACAGAAGGAAAAAAGCATCAAAAATTACAAAAGAAACTAAAGGACATCAAATATAAAGGAATTTTCCAGAAAGTGTGTGTATATACATTTTCATTTTTATGGAAAGTATATTTTTATTAATTATGTTAATTCAGACATCTTTTTAGTCTCTAAATGCATCCTTCAGGCACAGCATACGAGCGGATAATAAAAGAAAAAGAAATCCAACAAAGAAGAAATTATCCGTTACTGCACAGTTACATAAGTGATTCAACAAATAAGTATAGAAACTGCAGAAACAAAGAAATTTTATTATCAATAACCAGACATATGTACATTGCAACACCTGGAAATTATGAAAGAAGATAAAGTTGAAAGAGGTGAAATTAATAACGCTGTACACATAAACGCAAATATGTTTGGAATGTTATTCTATATATTTAACAATAACAATATACAATATATACATGTCCACACAGGAGAAAATGTACTTTATTATCAACTGAAGAGATCGGTAAGACCTTCGATAACTCGCAGATAGATCTGATTCGCAACTCGTGATTAGATCAGCTGGACAATGTCTTTTATGAAAAGATTTGCGAGAAATCATCGTCACTTAACACGATCGCCCTACTTATAATAGTACGTATTATGGTGTTGTGATTATGTGTTACACATAAATGATATGTTAAACTAATTGTTATAACAGTGGCATAATAAATTATCTTTCATCATTCAATAAAAATCATCTCTATCACAAAATTTTCAAGTTATATATTAAAATTAAATACTGATTTGATAAATATATAACCTAATACCACTTTATATTGGCTGCGTTCAGAAAAAAAATTGCAACTATTATAAGATTCTTTAATATAATTAGTTCTTACCCAAGAAAAAAAATTCCTTACTTCCTCACTAGATCTAAATGTATAAACCAATCATATTAAAAAATCAATAGTTACAAAGCTGTATCTTCTGTTAAATGCAGTCATTGCTCACTTATGATAAACCAATCATTATATAATTTGCCATTGATAAAAACACAATATAATTTATAGCCTGCAGTATTGGGAAGTAACTCGTTACTTGTAACAAAATTACAGTTGGAGTTATTTTTTTCAATAACTGTAACTTAACTTCGTTACTTTTTTCCATCTATAACTGTAACTTATAACTTACAAGTAACCTTACCCTTCTATGACTTACCAAATTTAATAAAACTTGATACAGTTTGTAGAGTAGTCAAAAATAATAAACACGCTTTTTTTTATATCAGCAATGGTGTAGGTATAAGGGTGCAAAACTACTCCCCTTATAGTAATAAGCATGAGTACTTAATTTTTTGTATCATTGTATTAGAGCTACTTATTTAATCTTGCTCTTTGCCGAATCCAAAAATAACCAACGAGGAGGTAGCGAGTCTAACCCTATTTAGTTTTTTGTTTTTGTTTTTTATTATTTTTAAAATATTATTTTACATTTTTACAATTTTTTAAACATTTTTTACTAATTTTTCTTATTTTCTTCACAATTACGTCTCTTCTCACCTATATCTATTTTTTTCATTTTATTGTACGTATTCCTTGCAAATATTCAAAAAAAATTCTTGTATGCACAAAGATTTTGCACACCACTTATAAAGTTTTATTACTGCAATATTAATACATAATGCGCAAGTAGTTTCACAATTTTTGAAATTTTTGAATAATCAATGGGATTATCAAAATCAAATGGTTTTTTTTGCAAATATTTACTTTGTACCACGAATATTTAAATAAATTTAATTAATTAAATAATTAAATTAATTAAATCATGGAGAAGATAACTAGATATTTACAAGAGAAAATTTGCACTTGATTTTGATAATTCCATAGATTGTTTCAAAAATTGTAAAACTATCTGCGCATAAAATAATGTAGTAGAATGAATAATGTGTGTAGCAGTAATAAAGTGCGGTTTGTGTGTAAAATCTTTGTGTACAAGAATTTGTTTTTAATATCATTTCTGCAAAGAGTATGTAAAAATAAAATAAAAAAATAGATATAGATAAAAAGTGACCTAATTGTAAAGAAAATAACAAAAATTTATGAAAAATGTAAAAAAAATAATAAAAATAAAAACAAAAAACTAAATAGGGATAAAGTCCCATCATCTCTTTGTCGGTTATTTTTGGGTTCGGCAGAAGCGAGATAAAGTAATATAATTTTAATACAATAAGCTAAAATATAAAAAATTAAGTATTCGTGCTTATCACTATAGGCTTATCACTAAGGAGTAGCACCCTTAAACCTGCACCATTGATGATATAAAAAAATACGTGTTTATTATTTTTGACTACTCTTCAAATTTACCAAGTTTCAATAAATTCGGCGAGTCACGGAAAGGTAGAGTTACTTGTTAGTTACATATTTTGGGTAACTAGTAACTATAATTTAATAATTACTTTTATAGTTACTTTATATGTATATTTCAAATTTGTCAATATAGGCTGCTGTTGAATCACTTTTCCTACTTTTTAAATAAAATTATTTAAGACTATTAGATTCGAATTGTTGAAAATTATATAACACGTAAACTAGTTTTTTTTCTCTGATCTTAATGGATTTCAATGTTATCCATGTTGTTCTGTTATATTCTGATAACATAGTTCAACAAAAAAAAACACCATAATAAGATTAGTCAATTCTCGTAATTTTTTGGACACTGAATCCGAATCCGGTTGTAGAATTGCTCTATCACATTACAATTTTGAAAAATTTGCAGGTTGTAAAAATAGACCATTTTTACGTATTTTATCATATTATAACTTCAGAATGTGCTAGAAAAATGTTCTTTAGAGGTGTGCGAATAGTTCGAATTCGAATCGAATCGAATCGAATCACAGTAATTCGATTCGAGTTCGTTTTCGAATCTGCAAGATTCGAAATCGAATAGTTCAAGAATTTCGAATCAACAATGGTTCGATTCCGAATCGATCGTCTATTTTATTTGGTTCATTTACATCTCCCGCGCGGCCAATTATTCTTACCTAATAAATAAGTATTTTTGATATATGTAATGTTTTCATATAGATTAATAAAATATTCGAAAGCATTCTAACTATTCGTGTACACACATATTATTATTTTCTAGTTCAAAATGTCACATAAAATCATGATCCTTTGTAATGAGATGTAAATCGAAAACAGGTCTTCAGTTTGTTTAAATCATTGCGTAAATCATCAATTTTGATATTTATTACGTTTAAATTAACATGTAATGTTAATTTGGAAAAATTTGATTTAGATTCGATTCGTATTCGAATTAAAGAGATTCGATTCGATTCGATTTGACCATGCAAATGCTTGATTCGCACACCTCTAGTGTTCTTGCAATCAAAATTAAGTTATGTTATTAGAACTTTCAATCTTCAAAAAGAATTTTTTGTGTTCGTTATGGTGAACAAGTTATTCGTTAAATATTGAGTCCATTATGGAAAAGTTGCGAATTAAATCATTGATAATTTACCAAACAGCTTCCAATTTTGTTTATTAAAATTTAAGTTTATTAAAATTTAAGTTTGTCAAATTTAAGTTTAAATCGCTGAATACAAATCCAATCAATCAAAATTGAGTTCCAAATGGCGGATTCAATATAACAGATGTGTTAAAAAATATTTAAAAATATGCGCGCGCGCGCGTTTGCACAAATAAATTTTACTTTTTGTGTAAACTTCAAATTGAAAATGTGGATTCCGCAAAATAGACAAAATTTGAAGCTGTTGGATAAATTGTCAACAATTAAATTCATAATTTTTCCATAGACCCCAGATTGACAATAAATATCTTGTTAACTACAACGGACACAACAAATTTCTTTTGAGGATTAAGTCCTAACAACATGCTTAATTTTGATTGCAAACACTTCTCTAGCACTTCTTTCACATTTCTGAGTTATAATATGACCAAATACGTAAAAATAGCTTTTTTCTGCAACTTTATCTACAAATTTTCCAAAATTGTGACGTAACAAAGCAATTCTACAACCGGATTCGGATTCAGCATCCAAAAAAACTACGAAAAATGAATAGTTTCGGTTATGGTATACGAAAGAAATTTTTGTTGTTGAACAGTGTAATAGAAAAGTAACTAAAAAATAATGACTCGTTACTTTTTGAGTAACTGTAACTGTAACATATATGTTACTTTTTAGAGTCGGTAACTTGTAATGGTAACTAGTTACTTTTTGAAAGCTGTAACTGTAACTAGTTACTTTTACAAAGTAACTTTCCCAATCCTGTTTATAAACGACTAGATTTTTTTCAAGAATTGCACTGCTCAATATACTGTCCATTAAAGTACTCGCATCTTCTATTCAAACCTACTTTCTATATACACATTATGATATACATACGCAGGCATGCACGCGTGTGCACATACACACATTCTTTGTATTTTTTTAATTTCACATTTTCTGTTTATCATTATCCTTCAGATTATTTAATGCCTTTTGAACCAATACTCCTAAGTTCTTTGGAAGGCTCATTTGTATCGATTGCAATTGTTGCATAACTTGACTTTCAGGCGAAGAACTACATTGTATATTGTTCTCACTCGTTATGACATTGTTTTCTTCGATATTATCTACGCTATTGTTAGTTGTATGATTTAAATCATTTAAGTCATTGTCACCTGTAAAAAATGTAAAAGTGTGGTATAATAATAAATCTGCTACACAAATATGTTAACGCGATGGCAACGATTATAATTTTAATTATACGTACTTCTCAAATCAACATTGGCGCTAGTATATCCCTCCAAGAGCTTGGTGGTCGGTGACTGTACAGCACTGTCCAATTCACAAATTCTCAATGCCAGTATTCTGCAAACAACGTATGCAAATGAGTACGGAAAGACAGAAACATAAATGTATAAATGTGACTGACGTCGAACTATTTACTTGTTCGCTTTCTTCTGATGCGCCAGAGCTAAAGTTTTGTCGTTTAAAGCCTCCAGCAAGGCAGTGCAAAGGCATCGTAGATCGGTTACGGCGGCAGCAGATTTCTGAGGCGGTACATATGAACTTTGTTGAAGAAGCTGTTCGACTAAAAATTAGAAATATATTCTATATATTTTATACAAAAAGTTTAATAATAAATAAATTCTCACATATATGTTTTACCTTGTTTGTGAGTCATCACTGTTCCAGCTGCAGAATTTGCTCCCAACTTGATAGCACCTTTGGCTCTTTTACTATCTAACATACTCTTAAAAAATTAATTAATATCAGAAACAATTATAAATTAATAATAATTTGAAATGCATAATAATTCATCTACTATCTATCTACCTTATATTTTGACAAAGATTGACGCGTGAGCTCCTTCTCCTCCAGTAATTGCTGCAGTCTCTCTTGCAAATATCTAGAACATTTGCAATATAAATATCTACATATATTTCAAAACTTCAATTACACATCTAATTTCTTTCTCTAATTACCGATTTTCATTGATAAGAGCATCCAAATCAACTGGTTTACTAGCATTTAAAGCTTTGGACAGTTCATGATTCAAACGATGAGCCTTACATTTGAAGGCATCCCTTTCCATCTCCAACTCGTGTTTTTCATCCAATACTGTTTGTAGATCTGTTTGCAACTGTGAACACTATAGCAGAATCTCATTAAATGATAGTATTTTGTTGAAATATAAATTGATTCGAGGAATTAAAAACCGATACTAGGCATAAGATAAATTGACAATAAATAAAAAGTTAATATGTATTACTTTAACACTAAAAATATCAATATTTTTTACTAATTAAAGTGACATGCAAATAAATGAATTACTATAAAAATTTAAAAAATTATGAAAAACTATTTTATCAAGATAAAAAAAATGACTGATAAATTTCCTATCTCTTACACAAGAAATAAGATACCAATTTAAAAAATAAAAAGAGTTAATAATGACCACATGATACTTCTAATGTTAATCCTTCGTTACACAAATTTTTTTGTTAAATATATTTTGCTAAATTTCAGCAAATATATATGGGGGTTTTGGAGTTACTGATTGCAAATTTAAAAATCGAAATTTAAAAAATTAAAATAGATTCAATATGGCAGTCAAATTTTAAAAAAATAAACTGACTTATTTATGTATAAAATTTTATACGTAGGTATTTTTTAAGCTTTAACTTCACATGCAATGGGATGTTACCTTAAAAAAACAGGTTATCATTATTTTTTGCAAAAAGTAACTCATTACCATTACTCGTTACTGATTTAAAAAAATAATGCGTTACCGTTACTTTTCAAGTAATGGTTCGTTATTTACGTTCGGTATTTTTTCATTACTTTTTTTGTAACTCTAAAATAAGTTTAATTAGACTTGAAATTTATATTATTCAATAATCATTCAATAATCAACTGTAATAAATATTAAAACTTGAAACTCTCTAAACTAGTCTGTATATAGAATAAGTTTTTCTTTATATTATATTTATTTTTATATAAAGTTTTAGATTAAATTTATTGTTTTCAAACATTAAGTCATTATTAAGAATACATTCCAATATTCACTATTAATATTGAAAATCTATAATATATATGTAACAAATATGTGAATTGTAGATTTTTAATATTTGATACGGGAATGTATCTAACAGATATAGAGATAAAATAAATTAAAAAATCTATTATAAAATAAGAAAATAAATAAGTTTAAAAATGTGACGATAAAAGTAACGGCAAATTCGTTATCATTATTGTAAAAAATGGAATGATGATATTGTTACAGATAGAAAAAAGTAACGAAAATGATAAACATTTGCAAGTAACGCATTACTTTCCAACTCTGCATATGCATATATACAATTTTATTAATATCAGAATTCAACATTTTTCTTAACAGTCAGTATGGCTGTCACATGGAATTGGCCATTTTTAATTTTTCAATTATAAGTCCAAAAATTTGAAATAAGTGACTTCAAAAACATTAATGTAGAGATTTTCAAGATATATTCCAACATAAATTTTTTGTAAAAAAAGTTCTAATTTTAACTGATCTTTTACTGCTAATTTATTGTTAATACAATATAAAGATATTTATATTAATGTATACATACAAGTCTTATATAACACAATGATCAAGAACATAAAGGTACAAGACGTTATGCAAACTAATTCTGAAATACATAAAAACATAGAAAACTGCAGAGACAGGACTCCCATATAACGCAACGCTATGCAACAAATTCTTAATTTTTGACATTTTTCTTCTTATGCTTACCTTTAAATTTAATTTTTCTAACTGTTCTATCATCTCTTCTCTTTGATGCATGGCTGGTGCTAATTGAGTTTCCTGCTGTTCAATTGGTATACGATTATTATTTGTACGTAACACCTTGATATCACCCTCGGCATCCGCCAGCTTCTGTCTTAACATTTCGACCTGCAGCCTGAGACACTTATTCTGCTCTCGTGCTTCTGCTAATAAATCCAAGGTTCTAAAATCGTCGTCCAAGTTGTAACATCTGCAAAAATATTTACTGCAAGATAGTGAACAGATCATAAAACTTAGTCTTGAAGCGATGCCATCGTACCACAGGTCTGAATCAGATATACCTACCTGTTCAATTCCTTCATATCGCACATCTGCTTCTTCAAATGTAGAAACCTCTCCTGAATTTGCTCTGCCATCAGCTTAAACTGATCTCGTTCTGTCCTACACTGATCCATCTCCTGGCTCAACAACACAAGCGCTTCCGACTTCATTTGCAATTTTCTCTTTAGCATTGCCTGCGAATAGACATTTCAAATATAGAACTTACGGGACGAAACGAAACGTACTAAGCAAACGTGAACCTACTTTTGACTCCACGTTAGCATCGTTGACGTCAGTCTCGTTGGAACGACTCGTCTTTTCCTCCATCATATCCTTAATTAAAAGTTAACCAGAATAGTTGTCAACTTTAACGATTAATATTTCAGTTAGCGGAACAGAGCGACGCTCTTTTTCTACCAGATTCTTTCGTTTCGTGCAAAAACGAACATAATTTCATCGAAAGGTGAGGCCGCTAAACCGAATAATTATCAAATAATTTTCTATACACTTACTTTTTCGTGTTATTACCACAGATTTCTATAAAAATCTGTGATTATTACAAATTAAAATTAAAATTTGATATAAATGTCAATGGATGTATTGAGTCATTGGGTGTATGTATTATAGAAATGCGACCCGCAATCGCGCACATCGCGCTAAGGCGATTGAGCGATTTTAAAGTTATCTGTTTTATCGATCGAATGTGATTATTTTTCAAAATAAAATAAACATAATTAAAGGCAACAGATTAAAAAATCCTTCTCTACAATTAATTAAGCATAGGCATCATTGTAGTTCCGGCTGGTAGAGGTTATGCTGAGAACGCAAAAAATTTATGAAATTTAGATCTCCGTAAGAGCACACG